GCAATCTTAATATGCAACATTTTCTTGCTCTAAATGTGTATGGTGATTGTCTAAGTACTAGTTTGCAAATAACAACACAATTCTCTTGTTTTTCCTTTTCTGGGTTAAGTGGAGATTTTATGTGTTTCATATGATTCGATTGTTCCAAGTGTTTCAAATAGAGTTTGATGAATTTTGTTTGCCACCCCTTTATTTGGAGCATACAGGAAAAATTAGTGCTCTTGTAGTATGGATTTGAATGGCCTCCTCACGATGCATGTCTCCACCCTCATAATGAACCCCCATTCAACCCCGAAAGTGTTCTCTTTCATTTAAAATTTTTTTTTCTGTATCTGAGTTACTCTCTTTTTAAGGCAAGATCATCATTCTTAACATTTGTTTTAAACTTGTAGGTTGTGGGTTGCCTCATTCAGAATGATAGAAAGGTCCTACTTTGCAAGCGAAATATTGAACCATCTTTTGGCCTTTGGTATGTATTTACATGGTTGAAATTTGATTTAGTAAAGAGATGACATTTTGTTTTTCTCTTCATTTTTACTTCCTGTTTAGTAGAAACACATAAAAACTACACATTTAAAATTTGGAATCCTGGAACTAGTTTCTAGTGACTCTGAAGGCAACAGTAAAAGTTTAATAATTGAATGGGTGGCATTGGCATAGGACTCTTCCTGCTGGTTACTTGGAAATTGGGGAGTCAGCAGCTGAAGGGGCAATCAGGGAAACCTGGGAAGAAGCAGGTGCTGAAGTCGAAGTGTTGTCACCTTTTGCACAATTGGACATTCCTCTTATTGGTCAAGTTAGAAAAAGCATCCTCTCATTTCTTTGACTTTTATTAGCTGTGCAATGACTGAAGATGTTTGTGCATGTCTATTTCCTTTGAGCAGTCTTACATGATTTTCTTAGCAAAGCTGAAGAAGCCAGAATTTTCACCCGGTCCAGAATCATCAGAGTGTCGTCTCTTTGAACTGGATGACATACCCTTTGATTCTCTGGCATTTTCTTCAATTTTGGTTACCTTGAAATTGGTAAGAGCCTCTTAGAATCATGCATGTTGCCTTTATTTATAATAAAAAATGGTCAACACTCCAGCAGCAAAAATAAAATAAAATAAAAAAGGGAAAAGAAAGAAAGAAAGAAGCCCAATTCTTGTCTCGTACTATGTAAATTAATTGTGTTTTATCTCTGCTGTGCAGTACATTGAAGACCTAGAATCTGGAAAAATAAAGTATCACTATGGAATCATTCACAAAAGGTATTTTTTAAGTATTTTTTTTGTCAATGTGCCAATATTTTTTGTGAAGCTCCTTAGGGGGAGCAATTTCTCTTTATTTTTAGTCCCTACTTTGAATTCAGAAATGGTAATCAGGGAGAAAAACCTGTTTCTTAATGTTTGGTGCAATAAAATACATTGAAGTCAAAATCCGTTGTATGTACTACTACGTAGGCCTAAGTCTAACCAAGGGGTTGGCTACATGTATCCTGCGATTCATGCTTTTGTGGTATAATCATTTTTAAAAGCCATTTTTGCTTAATAGCATTCCATATTTCCATGCTATAATCATCTAACTTTTTCTCAATTATGAAGTTTGGGAAGCTCATTCTTATAATCCATTTCTTTTTTGGTGTTTTCTGTCAGGCCTGGGACAAGTCCTTCAGAGATTCGTGCATTTACTCTTGATTACCATTTGCAGGTCTGACAAATAGGGGAGTCTATCATCTCAGAGGGCAAGGTCATGCCATGTTAATTAACCTCCACCAGGTAGAAAATTCCCCAAGTAGTCAAGTTGAAATTAAATGGATAATTGCTCTATTTGCTTGGGAAGTTCTGTGTTAGAGTTGTTTTTCGATAGATGTGGTGTTTATCCTTCACACATGGAATCTAATACATGGATAGGTGGCATGGTGCTGTGTCTCACAAAAAGTCCTGTGAGGTCGAGCATGGGTGTTCTTTGGGTTAATTATGATGTCAAGCTGATTGCACTTGGGAGTAAGTGTTTC